TCTACGCACAGAATTATAGTATCCGTATTTCAAACACTCGCTGAAAAAATTGATTTTCAACAAGTAGGGTCATCACAATCACGAAGAAAAAAATTGCTTGCACGTGTCTGAATCACGGTCTATCGACCACAAGCAAGCAGATATATCGTCCGGGTCGCAGTACTACAAAATCGAACTTGAAGAACTTTAAAGTAAAAACAAAGTGTATCTTATTATTTTATAGCTATGTGAATGTACTTAATATTGTTTCCAAATCAATAAAATACTGGAGGAATGTGCCAGAACCACATTGTTTTGACGAAGTTTTCCGAATTCAAATACAAAGGGGTTAAAGGTAATTTCTGGTTCTTATCTGATATTATTCCACAAACTTACACAACCAAAATTCCATAATCTACATCTCGCATTTGATATTATATTGAATGTGTAGGTTAAGTTCGAATAAATCACACGATCTTACTAAAATGTTACGCAAACAAAATAAGATACTTAAATTAAAAATCATATATGTGGAATTTTTAAAGCTGTGGAAATGTCAACTGTTATTGTCGATTGTGACACCATCCAGTCGTCTAGGTTATTACCAAAGCTTCGGAAGAACGTATCGCATGCATCTACCCAAAAGATAGAGGCAATACATCCCCCCTAAACACTGGTTAACCATTTACAAAGTAAAAGCCTGCACAATGTCACAACACAGGAGACCACGATAAACAAATTAAGATTTAAGTCATTAGGTATAAAAGTTATAGTATTATGAACAAAATGAAGCTATATAACTTCGGCTTTTGGGTTGGAGTTGCTTTTGAATGTAGCAACTACAATGTTTGCCGAAACGTTGGCTTATACCAAATATTCCATGAGGCTGCCACCCGAAAGCCAAAGTTATACATTGAATTACAGCCGCGAAAGCCTACGGACAAGAACATTAAAATAAACAGCAATAATGCAGCATAAATTTGTGCTGTGATTGTTCTGATTGTGTCTGATTCTATTTTGTCTTTTAAGAACTTCTGTTAAAATACACAGGAAAACATTATCGTGCCTAATTACTTCATTCCTGTATCTATTTTTTGATTAGTTACTGAACAGGGGTTATAACAAATTGTTTTTGTTTGATGCGCACAGTCGAGTTCTGTAAACCAACTAAATAAATACATCCAGGAGCAAAGTCCCCTTTGGAAAGTTAACAGTCGTTCAGTTGGAAAGTCTGGAGGGAACAAACCACTTGGAAGATCTAGACAAAGAAGGGATAATAATATTACAATATATATTAGAAAAATATCGTTGGAGGATTGGAATTGAATTTAGGGCCCGATGGCGGGTTCTTGTGAACACGGTCATGAACTTTCGAGTTCCATAAAAGGCGGAAATTTGACTAGCTTTAGCTTCTCGAGAAAGACTGCTCCATGGAATCTGTTAAGTTACTTAGAAGTTTCATTTCTGCACACGATAAAATACTTTTACACTAACTTATAATAAGTCATTGCACGACGACGTCTAAGTCTCGTGAGTGCAGAACGCACTGCACTACAGGGAATGTTCAGCTTCACAATGATGATGTTTGTTCGCTGGTAAAATAATTTAAACGTATTACTGCAACTGAATCAACAACGGAAATTTACACAAAACGTGACATAAAATTTTATCTTAGACGACTTTGACAAGTTAGTTGAATCAGCTTATACTAAAATATTATTACAAGAAAATAACTACTAAAAATATCTTGTCTTTACGAAGTGTCATGAACTGTTGTTAACGAAATAAAATAAGCAGTATAAAGTTATAAGAGATTGTTTTCCATTCATGAATGCTAGATCCCTTTACAGTAGAATTTAATAACTCTGCATCCATTCAGAGATGACCATATGTTTCTGACGTCATATGTGATACGCGAGTATGTACTTGTATAGTAATCAACTACTGAATGAGATTTTAGCATAATAATGTTACAGCAGGACCATGCAATGGATATTAATCTCCTTGGTTCAGATATACTTAAACTTAACTTTAAATTATCTTAGTTTATTAAGCGAAAATATCGGTTCTCGGTATTTTATGACGACTTAAAATGTAGCCATAGGATAACATAAGCAGATTACAGAATTTACCACATGATTTATCGTGTTATGATTCAAATCATTAAAAAAAAATTGTGGTCATACTGTGTTTTTAAAAATGTGAAAAATATATTCGTTAACTTCATTCCCTTCTTTGCCGTTCTGTGTTGGATTCTACACTAAAATTGAAGTACGTTAGCCTCTAGAAGCGAAAATTAATTGGAAATTAGGTAGATCTCGCGACTTAACCAACAAGAACCAACACCAGGCGATCTTTGTGTTAACTAAATCTTACGCAATGAAGCATTTTCATAAATTATTTACCTACACCTCTGTAATTTTAGAAGTGATGCTCTAAAGGTCAACCAATGTACCGGTAAATAAAACACCCTAGGAGTCATACTCTATTCTCTAAAGAAAATACGTGATGTTCCTGGCTGTAATTCCTCCTGCATCGCGTCCGCTCTTTAAGTTTCAGTTGATGAGGGTCCTTCAGAGTCTGTACTACACCCATCCTTGGTGTCCCCACAGAAATATGATCTTCACGATGAAACAGGAGGCCACTGGCACAAGTAGCGCGCTTGTCAGTAATCTGGGTATCGGGATGGCGTCTCCTCTCGCTCCGGAACTGCTTTTGGCACAGTTTTCCGGCTTGACCTGAGGGTTGGCTGCAATCACAAGAAACAAAATGTTTCCAAGAAGAGATTAAACTTTCGTCTGTGTGCTCGTTTTATTTCTCTAACCACTCCTAAATCAAGTCGGAATTACTATGAGAATCAATATTTAATGACATTTGAGGCCATCGTACATTGTAACCTCTTATCACTAACATGGCGGTCATGCAAATTTGTGAGTTGTGAGAAATATTACTAATAGGGAATTTAGGGCTCTTAACATTAAGTATCGTGATAATTCAATATATGCTAAATTTTCGGTGCAGTCAGTGTTACTCTGTTTTTATTGTTCGAATTTTTTAGTGGTAAGCAATCATTCATTATGATCAGTTATATGAAATGTGCGCTGAGATTGAACGTGCATGTACCACATGTCTTATAAATATATTCTGCTTTCAAATTATAAATATGGCGACGATAATAAAACAGTGATGTCCAGTATTTCCATACAACAGAAGCTGTTACGGTACGTGTGACACGTATAATAACACCGTGTCTTGAATGCATGACATTTCGCCTCTAGTTTCCTGGCTCTTGATAGAAACTTTGGCGGGGGGGGGGGGTATTTTGAGGAAGTACAGTACACTTTTTTGTATATGGACTGAAACTTCGTCTTCGAATCCTGCCAGGCATCTCTATTACGCTCTGGGATGTTCATTTTCCTACACCACAGATGTATAATGACAAAGTGCAGGCGTAAAGCAATACTTGACTCACTGTTCACGTACTAGAGTTGTCCTCCAGGCTTATACTGTTGAATCAACACATGATGAAAGCATCAAAATAATAAAACAACTTAAAATGCCATGCGAATGTTAGCATATGATTTGTTCCTAGTATTAAATTCAGTTGTTACTTCGTACAGAAACACATTGTGTTATGGAGTGCTTAAATGCGATATCCATAGTTGATTTGTGTTTTTGGTTTAAAATCGGCAAAACCAGTGGTTAAAAAGCAAATATCAACATATGAAACAATAAATCATACGAAAAATTATAAACTAAATATAAATGCAACCTGCACTACATTTTAATGATGGCATTTCCTGTACACAAAACAATGTTTAAATAGCCATAAATAGGAAAATTCAAACTGGGAGACTGCTATCGAAATTTTGTATTAGATTATTCTTACTGCCAAAATCACAAAAAAAAAACCACACACACCACAAAATTTCCTTGTGTCTGCCAAAATCTAACTTCAAATATTTATTTCCACGTAAAGGATTCTGTTAAAGTTATTACTTTCCATCTCAGTGCTTAATTCTGTAGGAAACAGTAGAAATCAGCTTAAGCTTGTATGACTCAAGCATATATATTCAAGGTACAAGTATCTACCCATCAACCTACTTAAAGCACTCAAAATTCAATTTACATAAACGTGTTCAAGTGACCAGAAAACAAGAACACCATCTACAGCAGTTTGAATTCGGGTCAAAGATAAATTACACTGATATTTTCCTCCACTTCGCGTCAGTTAACTAAAGCACGTACATAGACACAAGGAATTGGTTAAATTTTCGACATTGGTAATAGTGTTAATACATACTGCATATAAATACTATTCGATGTCACATCCTTTCACTTCTTCGATTAGATTTATTTTTGGAGAATGGGAAAGTATTCGTGAGGTTATCAAAATAATTAAGCAACTTCAGTAAATTTTACTTTAAGAAAAATCCAGGCTATTAACTGCCTGTTTTACGGGTTCATGCATAATTTTGTACGCGTATTCGGTTCAGTCAGCATCCTACACGAGTTTATTCTTGAGAATTTTGCCTGTCACAGAAAGTTCTAGGAAAAGTAATCTAGTGTATCAGTCTAAGGATTATTTTCTGAATTATAACAAAAGAGTTCCATTTGGCATCCTCATATCCAGCTCGTGGGGCACACGACATGAGCAGACACCGAAGTGACAAGCCTGACATCTAGTGGACGGAAAGAGAAATACTAAAATTCATTTGGATACAATGCTTTATATGCTTTATAATCCGACTTTTTCCGCCTGAATGAAACGAACATGAATTGCAGACAGCTGATGGATGAAGTTTGAGGAGAGAAATGTGAAGGAGAAACATGAAGTGACAGGGCACGAAATTAAATAAAACGCAGGCTGATAAAATTGAGTTAAACTTATTGGATAAAGTAGCAGGATACGTCTGAAGGCAATTCTCGCGCAAGGTGCATAAAAAGCCATCAATATTTTCTCAGTTAGATCAAAGACAAAATTGAGCAATAAGTCAGAAGA